CGTTTAAGGTGACGAAGGACTGGTAGAAGAAGAATTTTCCCACAATGATATTATTTACTGGTAGTCACGACAACAATACCTAATTGGAAAAATAAAATAAGCAAGTTAGCAGTTGTGGTGGCGCCGGGGGAAATACGAGGATATGGGATAGGCAAGTGTACTAGGACTGAAGGAGACGTGATACCAAAATCGTTCAGCAGACAGCTGATTAAAGGATTGACTTCAATTGTTGCTTTGACAAATTGTAGCATAGAGCTGAAATTGACAAGTCTAAATGACCATGCTGGAGGAACGTCTGGGAATGTACCACATTCACGCTTCGACTCTTAGAGCTATCATGACTACTCTGGCTAGTCGCCATGACAACACGATCAAGATGCGAAAAAGAAATCAGAACACTTGAAAGGATTATTTTTTGCAGTAAGTTGTTTTAGGAACTATCAGTCGGTCGCTAAAGTTGATTTCAGGACTGATAATTGAATTGTTTACAATCAAACGAATTTGGCGTCACTTAACAGGGTTAAACCGATGTAGAGATAACGAAGACCTGAGTCGCTAGAGGCCTGTTAAGAGTTAGTGGGCTTTACCTTTTGTTTATCCCACGCCTTTACCTACGAGCAGATGCTGGACACTGAGGAGTTGCTGAAATTGATGAATGAACTCATTAACTCTGTCAAGCAATTGATTGACCTCTCCCCAACAGAACTGCGTCTTCGTCTGACCCAATTCAAATGGGACAAAGACGCCTTCACTGAGGCCTACTTTGATGAAGCCTGTATGGGTAACTTTGACATCTCCGACCTGGCGTCGCCTCGGGCAGACGAGGAGAGGCGAACTTCTGTGACCGAGCCTTTAGAGTGTAACGGCGCTGCGTCGTCATCTACACTTAATGGTAAGCCAATATATGGATTACCTACGTACATAGATACATAAATGCACGTCCGTACTTACACACATATACATATATCCATACATACATAAATACATTTGTGTATGCATGCATACGTGCTTCCTTCAAGAAGTCATCTTTGGTGGAAATGCTCTCCGTCCTTGTAAGACCTTTGACGTTAGTTATTTGCAAAGAAAAGTTGGATTTCGAAGGATATTTTGGTTTATAATTGTTAAGCTAAATTCCATTTCGAGCGAAAGTTTGTGATGAAGTGATTCGATGGTAAATCGTTTCAGAAAACGACGGTGGATTTCTCTTGGTTGGCTTCGGCAGGCTCGTTAGCTTGAATGTGCCTTTAAGGATAACAGCCTTCTCTGATCATGTCCTTCGCTTGGCACTCTTCCAGCACAATACAGGGAGATTGCCTAGGAAACAGTTCCAGTAAAGCCAACCAATAGCTGGTCTAAAAAAATCCGCCGTTATTTTATAATGGGATCAACATTCTAATTCATTCATCACATAATTGTACTCGAAATGGAAGTGAGCTCAACGCCTATCAACATTGTGTATCTAGAAATCTGCTTTCTAATCATAGAGAATTTATGCTTTGTCATTTCCCTAATCCCATTAGTAGCCCTGAGAGGCTCCGGCTCTGTTCATGCGGGTAGACTGAATTGCTTTTGAGCCAAAAAGTTAAAAGGCGAGGACCAATTTTAAGGGCTGGTCAGTTACATCAACCAGTATCTTGGAAAGGGCCAAATTTGCGCATATTGGAAATGGTTTACAAAATGAGGCTTACTTTTTAGACTTCGTGATATCATTTTGGTGATAGCCCCTCTTTTTTGTGCGTTGACGAGATGCATAGGTCGAATTCACTAGAAGACGGCAATCTCAGTTTCAGTCCTCGGTTCTAGCGCCAACGTGCTGCTCTGAATATCTTCTTCTACGAGATATACGACAACATAGCACATTATCTTCGCAACCGAAGCTGGGACTGCAGCAGCATGAACATCTCAGTAGAATCAGGCTGCACTAGGCCATGAGGAATTTATTTGCTGTGCACCCTGGGATAGCATGAAATTTAGCTCAACGATGACATTTCAAAAGACTTAAAGTAATCCAATCTTTCCTCTGAAATGTTAGGCTAATTAGCATCTACTCTCTTTCTGAGCCAGACGCACCGATGTCACTGATCAAACAAACACTTCCCCTTTTTAACACTTTCCTTTCGTACAAAAATTAATCGACTTTAAAGAAATAGTGTATTTCCGCCTCCATTTTTCCCTAAAGTATATCATAATTATTTTGCATAATGGCTATTACTATTTCCAATTGTTTTGCCTTGGTTCCCCACATTTGAACAATTAGTGCCGAATTGGATATAATTTCATGACGTCTTATCATTTTCTGTTCTGATCAGAGAAATTTAGTGATACTTTGCATGAATTTGAAGTTGGACACTTGGTTCTTGCTAGAATTTTCTCCCATGTCTGGTGCTCATGTATCTATCATGATATCTGCCTTAATCTCCGGATGGGCCGCCTACACACATCTTGTAGTTTATGGCCTTCTAGGTCATTCTATCATAACTTTACCCTATTTTCACTCTCCTTTATCCACCGCAAAGGCAAATTTCACCCTTTTATTGCCCATTTTCATTCTCGATAGTACCTTAGCAAACTCTGCCCAAGTTCGAATGCTTTGCAATCCCAACTGTAATCCCCTCCCGTCGAGTTTATTTGTTTTCCCTAAACTGATTTACACTCCGTTTTCAGTCTTATTTCTAAACTATTTGTTCAGGCTTGGAAAAATACACCTTTGTTATCGAATTTCTCCTCATGCCTAGCAAACCATCAATCTGAAAGTGGGTCTATCTAGCATCATTTTGACTTGAGTAATGCTACGATATGAGCCAAAAGCATTTGACTTGACTGCTTTCCTGAAAGTACAAATGCCACGCATACTCAGAGTAGAAGCAAAGAAGCCTAAAATAACTTTTTTTCTCGCAACCATTTTGGGTTTCCTGACTAGCAATTGATTATAAACGTCGTAATTTGTTTTAAAGGTTTAGTGCTTCCTTTGTTAATCCAAATAAAATATTAAAAAATCATTCATTTCCTTTACCGTATTCTGTGCTATTTGGCTACATCTATACACTCTCCGCTTCAATTTT